AAAAAGCATTTTCTAAATTACTATCAGTTTGAGTCATACTGTGAGCATCCTCTTCAGCCTACGCTCATGTTTTTCTCCATCTGTATCCTCTTTACTCTTTTTCATTAAGCCTGTCAGCTTCTAATAATGTACTGTATAATAACTTGGGTGCTTCACTTACTGTCTGGTGTCCCTCAGCCAGAATAAACAGTCCACCGTGGCAAGATTACTTTAATGGTTTGCGTAGTGATCTATCTCCTGGGCCCAGAAAAGTGCGTGGTCCACATAAGCTATGAAACATTTCTTGAAGCACCCAGTGTCACTGTCACATGCCTGGCTCTGAGTTTATTCATTGACTGTCCTCTCTTCAGTGTCAGTGGTACCTCAGAGGCTCAGGAATAAAAACAAGGCTCATGTTTTGAAGACAAAACCAACAAGGTGATTAAGAATCAAACAGAGCCGTGTGCTTGACCTCCCCCGCTTGCTGGCGCTCTGGGTCCCCAGCTCCCCTTCCCCAGGGACTGTTGTTCATTTCACTCCCGTCTCTGCCGTCCCCGTCGGCGAGCCCGTCACTCCCGTTCGCAGCTTTCTCCAAGGGCACAATCCACGGGTGTTTCTCACAGGCCCTCTTCCCTCCCTTGGCCACACTGTCAGTGCCCTGACAGGTGAAATGATAATCGCCTCCCGACAAGGAGATGAGGTCACAGAGGCCGAACCCTTATCTCGGGGCTGAGACACCCCCTTTGCACACCCGCACGAGGGCTGCCCAGGCACGCGCTGTCCCGACAGGACATGCCAGCCAGGTCAGCAGTGGTTCTGGTCAGGTAAGTGTCAGATTTGGAGACAGACATCACTAGAAAAGTCAGTCATCCTTATAGAGAAATAATTCTGTCTTGGGTGATTGGAACATAAAACTAGACACACATTCAGGACAGTTTTTTTTCACAATTTTTTTTTTTAGGAAGCCGTGGCATATTGCCACCCTCGTTCACCTGCATTGAAACCACCTGACATCTCTCTCTCCTTCCTGCTGCAGCCTTCTCTGAAATCGTGCCTCCTCTGTCCCTGACCAAACACGGGGGGCCTCGCCGCGTTCACTCTCAAGGCCTCGAGCTCCAGGCAAGTGACCAATGATCAGACGTGCTCCCAGCTGCTCAGCTGGCGCCTGGTGTCTGAGTGACGGGCACCACTCTGGGCAGTTGTTTTGTTTTGGGGGAGAGAGCATGCCGGCCTAGGTGGAGTCTGTAACAATATCTCTGTAGCGTTTTGTCCTTATTAGAAGAACGTTAACATTTATTTAGAGAAAAGGAAGGCTCAGTCTTTCTGCCATGTCTGGAGTGGAAAGAAGCTTATTTACAGAAATGTGGCTAACTTGTCTGTTCGACAAGAGGTTTTAGGGACATTTTGGACGTTTTCTGCCCCACACTCAGAAGCATTATGTACTTTCAAGATACTTTGCTTTCTGTTAGTGAGAAATGGCTTTTGGATATCAGTCTTGGTACTTCAGGTGGTCGTTTCTGTGGACTTGTTTACAATGTCTAGACTCTTTCAGGGAAAAGAAATGCGAGGGAGATTATAGCTCAGTGGTAGAGCACGTGCTTGACATGCGTGAGGCTCTGGGGTCAATCCCCAGTGCCGCCTCTACGAATAAACAAGAAGATAAACCCATTACCTCCCACCACCACCACCAAAAAGAGAAAAGATCTAAGGAATACGTACGTGTTTTACAGTTACATGCTGTGTGCCTTATTTTCCCCAAGACTTAGAGGCTTTTGAGTTTTTGTATAAATTATTTCTATATTCTCTTGCTTTATAATGAAAGTCTTATTTACCAATTATATTAATAGATTTTTTTAATGTTTCTAATTAATGCCTGTATAATTAGCAAAATATGAGTCAGAACAAGTGTTTAATATTTCTTTTAGGTACTTTAATTTTCCTACATGCCTCTGTGTAACTTCAGATTTTTTTACAAGTATGTATAGAACATCGTGAGAGGCAACCAGGGTAATTTATTTTTTTGGATTTTGACATCTAATTTTGATCAATATTTTCAGTCTCTGCCCCCTAATTTATATTCCTCTCCCTTCTTATAATTTTTATTCTTTTCTTTCTTGGAGGGAGATAATTATGTTTATTTACTGGTTTATTTAATGAAGGTACTGGGGATTGAACCCAGGACCTCATTCATACAAACCATGCGCTCTACCACTGAGCTACACCCTCCCCTCTCCTCTACATTCAAAAATAAAATTAAAAAAGAAACCTACTCCCCACAGGCTCTGCATCTTGTCTTTTTCATGTGAGAGTACGTGGTTGGGAAGATGCACGTCAGTACCCACGCAACCCCCTCACTCGTCTCTCCAGCCACAGAGGACCCTGCTGTGCGTCTGGCCACCTCCAGCCCCCCTGGGAGGTGAGGACGGAGGCTTTTTCCAGCCCGAGTCTGTGGCGTTGCCTCTGCCCGCCTGAGCAGAGACTCTGCTGCAGACGGCACGTGACACTGTATACAGTGCAGGCCGCGTACTGAAAATTGAGGGATGTGGTGTTGACGTCACCTTTCATTTGTTCTTCTGTTCAATCCTCTCACGTCAGTGAACCCGGTGCCCTCTCGGTGCTGATGTGATCTTTTCCGCCAGCTCGGAAATGGGCGTCATGTTCCTCAGTCAGACGGGAATCGGCCTTGTCGGAAATATCTCCTTCCTTTGTCTTTATAACTTCACCTTGCTCACCAGACACAGTCTGAGACCGACTGACCCGGTCCTCACGCAGCTGGTCTCAGCCAGCTCCGTGGCTCTCTTCTCCAAGGGCGCACCTCAGACTCTGGCAGCGCTCGGATGGACGTATTTCCCGGACGACCCTGGGTGTAAGCTGGCCTTCTGCCTCCACGGAGTGGCCGCGGGCGTTTCCTTCAGCACCGTCTGCCTCTTCAGCGGCTTCCAGGCCATTAAGCTCAAGCCCAGAATCCGGAGGTGGATGGAGCTCAAGCTCAGATCCCTAAAGCTCATCGCCTTCTGCTGTTCCCTCTGCTGGATCGTGCGTATCGTGATAAATTCATGTCTTCCCTTAATAATAAAGGGTCCGTTGCAATGGAAGAACCTTAGTATGAAAAGAAATTATGGATACTGTTCTTGGCATCTAGAAGAGGGTTTTGTAGGCTTATTACTGTCTGTCCTGTGTTTCTCCCCTGATACTATGAGTTTAGGTTTCAGTATCTGGGCCAGTGGCAACATCATTCTCATCCTGTACAGGCACAAACAGCGAGTCGAGCACCTCTGCAGCCACAGACTCTCCCCGAGACCTTCGCACGAGGCCAGAGCCACTCTCATCCTCCTGCTCCTGGTGAGCTCTTTCTTTGGATTGTTTGCTCTACATAGTTTTGACAATCTGGATGACTCTGGTGGCAAATCGCGGCCAGTGGATGGTGAACGTCTCTGTCCTCGTGGCCATGTGTTTTCCAGTGTTCAGCCCCTTCGTGCTCATCATCAGTGACACCCGCGTGTCTCGGTTCTGCTCTGCCTGCAGGGCGAGGAAAACGCTGTCTCCTCGTCCGGTTGTAGTTGGGTGGGTCTGTGTGGCGGTGTTCACATATCCATTTCAACATCTGTGGACGTTTGGGGGCCTCTTAAATAAGTTCAAGAACAGGTGACACTGTTGCCAGTAAGGGCGGTGATGTCTCTGCCTGTATCCGTCTTAACAGGGAACTAAAAATGGTTGTGTGTATAATGAAGCAGAGTCTCTGTACTGTAAACCACACATACTTCAGATGTACAATTTGATGAATTTTGCTAGATGTGTACACCCGTGAAACCTCCAGCACAATCCAGACAGTGAACATTCCCCTCACTCCCCAAGAGGTGCAATTTTCAAATTCCCAATTTATCCATTCCCACCCCGTTTACCCCCTGCTCACCATAAGTTTGTTCTCTATGTCTCTGAGTCTGTCTCTGTTTTGGAGGTAAGTTCACTTGTGTCTTTTATAGATTCCAAATACAAGTGATACCATATGGTGTTTTTCTTTCTCTTTCCGGCTGACTTCACTTAGAATGATGAGCTCCAGGTCCATCCATGTGGCTGCAGCTGGCACGATTGTGTTCTTTTTTATGGCTGAGCAGCATTCCATTGTAGAAATACATACACATCACATCATCTTCATCCAGTCATCTGTCGGTGGACATTTGGGTTGTTGGAAAATTCCTGAATTTAAGGCCCCAGGAAAGTCTGTCATTGTGGATCTTGTAGAGACTCCAGAAATGTTTTTGGTTTTTTACTTTTGTTTCCTTTAAATATATTTTTAAAGCATTGAGTTCATGTTCTCAACTGGAGGAAAATGGCCTGGAAAGACCCATGGGAGCAAGGTGTGTGCAGCCTCCCTGGAGTGGGATGGATCCCGTGTGTTAGGAGTATGAGAAGTGGGAGAGCAGCAGGAAGTGAAGGGGGGTTTGAGGTAATTGCTAAGGACAGGCTGGGAAGTCTGAACTTTTATTTAAGAAAGGGCAGGGAAGGGATGTGATCAGGTGGGTGAAAATACTAGCACCCCTTATTGCAAATTATTTGTAACATATTTAAAACATCTGTACTTGCTTTTACTAATTATACAATAAGAGCTTACTGTTACCTTTGAAATTTTTTTAAAATTAATGACTGAATACTCAGTCTAAAAAAGTCATGTGTAACTGGGCAATAAGGACTGAAGATCTGGATACTATGGGGGTATGTTATGGTCACTGGAAGTGCCGATGATCACATGGATTTGGAGTGGTTGCTCCGTGTGACCCTTCAGTTTCCCTGGGCAGATGCAATGTATGGGTCGTAATCATTGGGAAATTGCTTAGCCCTGAAAAGAAACACATCATCAGGTTTTAATGGCCAACATGAAATATGTAAATAATTTTTTGTTTTTTAAGAAGATTTGGGGGGATTGTAAAATGACTATTACTCAATAAAAAATGCTTTAAAAAAGAAAGATTTGGGGGGCCAATTAGCTTTCTAAATTTATTTACTTACTTATTTTAGTGCAGGTACTGGAGACTGAACCCAGGGCCTGGTGCATTCTGAGCATGCACTGCACCGCTGGCATGTTAGCCTCCCCCCAAGTATCTAAATAATTTAAAATTTGTTTCTCTCAGCTCCTTTCACCTAAATAAAATTTTCACAATATTTTAATTCCAAACACCAGTAGCTGATTTTATAAAGGTCTGTTTCTGTCTAGAAGATTGACTATACCCTTCTGTTAGTACAAAATTCATATTCAGTCTTTTGTAATCTGAACTGACAGCAACTTTAGTGAAGTCTGTGTATTTTTTCAAACATTTTTTGTTTTTTTATTCATTTATGATTGTATTATTTTATTTTCAAGGAGGGAGGTAATTAGGTTTATTTATTGTTAGAGGCTGCACTGGGGTTTGAACCCAGGACCTCATGCATGCTAAGCGTGTGCTGTACCACTGAGCTGTACCCTCCCCACTAAGTGAAGTCTATATATAGTGTACATACATGTGTAAACATCTGTCTTGAAATGCCAATAGCATGTGTTTAATACCAAAATTATGAGTCTTTATATATCCCTGAATTCCAAAATTATGAAATCTTTTTGTTTAGCTATTTTCTTGTTTTTTTCAAGTCAACATAAATATATTCAGTGATTTTCTTTTGCTTATTTTATAAAAACCAGTCTGTGAGAAAACTTCATCACTTTTATAGTAATTTTTAATGGTTAAAATTAGTACAGGAGTTATTGGTTTGCATATCATAGGTCCAGTGTATTAAAAATGATCTCCATTAAATAGTCCTCTAGTTAAAAAAAAAAAAGTGATACTGACTTTCTTTTTAATGTTGACTTTTCTTTTCTTTTTTTTTGGATATATATATTTTTGAAGTATACTCAGTTTACAGTGTGTCAGTTTTTGGTGTACAGGATGATGCTTCAGTCATACATGAACATACGTATATTCATTTTCATATTCTTTTCCACCATGAGTTACTACGAGATACTGAGTATGGCTCCCTTTGCTATACAGAATGAACTCGCTGTTAATTGGATTTTGTGAGAATCCTCCTGTATTTTGAAGTGAGAGAGCTGCCAGAGTTCAGCAGGTGTTCTGTGAGATTCATGGGTCTGTAGATGTAACTGTGTATTTGTGGGAGAGAATGAGCTGTGAGTCTCTCTGCTCCACCAGCTGGGCACCTCCTACATCCATTCTTTTATTTTTAAGGCAACTTTTTTGAACCATGTACTGATAACTCAGAAGAGATTGCATCTCTCATTGTCAACTGGCTTGCAAAAGAAATCTTTACCCCCTGCAACTAAGCACATAGTCTTTCAAAACTAATTCAAAAGCTACCTCACAAATCCATAACATCCACATAGCGTATCCTCCTTTGCATCAGTCTGTGCAGTTATCAGAAGGTGTGAACAGTTCACATCGCCCTTCACTCCTGTGTGATTACAGTACTGTGTCCTGTACTATTTTGAGTATTCCCCCATCGTTTCTGTTCGTTTGGCCCTTTGCTTTCCTGTACTATCTTGTGGTCAGGCCACAAACTGAACGTTAACCTATCATTTTAGCCCCTGAAATGATATACCTCGACGATCTTTCTGTATTTGGTGACCAGGGTGGTCAGGAGTGAGAAGCAGGGGAAGGAACAGGAAATCCTAGAACACAGCCTTTATCGGGGTGTCGCGGGAAAGCGAGGCAGGGCTGGGTAAGCAGGTTAGGACTGGCTGGTTAGGACAGTTTCCTCAGGCTTTGGGGCAAATGGGACTTCTCCTGAGTCGTCTGGTACCTGGCCCTGGGTTGACTGAGGGCAGGGGAAACATTCCCCTGGTTGTGAAAGGAGGCAGAGCTCCGATCTGCACTTGAAAGGTGCTCAGGCAAGCTGGCTTGCAGTAGAGAGGTCAACAAGGTTCGCTCCGAGGTCGGCCCTGGGACTCATCCCTACCAAGCTGACAACTGCAGAAGCTAAGCAAGCACACGTGGAACAACTGGCCCTGTGACTGTGGCATTATTTTAAGGAGACTTTGCGGTGATAATTGTGGTGACTTTCGGGGAGTGGAGTATACATTGCCCTAAGGGGCATAGAAAATATTTTATTCTGAGTAGAAAAGACAGACCACAAAAAGGGAGTGGGAGGGTATAGCTCAGTGGTAAAGCATGCGCTCTGCATGCACGACGTCCCAGGTTGAATTCCCAGTACCTCCACTACAAAAAGGAGAAGAAGGAACACAGGTAGAGATAAAAGGAGCTCTTGCTGGTTGGCCCATAATTAGGTTTTCTATTTCTCTGGCATCAGCCAAGAAAACAGGTCTGAAATTTTAGGGGGTCTCTAACAATGTCTTGGTGGAGTTGTAAAGTGTGTTGAAAGTATGAGATATGTAGTAACAGTTTATGTCTCAGGGAAGGAGGTAGGCCCGGCAGTGACGTTCTGGGACAGTGAAAGGTTATGATGCAGTCAAGTGCACGTAAGGATGCGCGCTGTTTGTGTATAACCAAGGGGAAGGGGTGGTCATGGTCAGAGATGCTGGGCAGGGGGTCTTGTGCGTGTCTGGGGGGTGAGGGTTCTTCTACCCTGGAGTTGGTTGATCTGAGTCAGGTGCGAACTCCAGGGGGAGTCACTAATGTCCATTAATATTTAGAGTGACTACTAGGAGGTTCGCCCAAGGCCTAGGGGTGTAGGGAAATGTTTTTGGCAGACAGTAATTAGTACAAAGGATCACGGGCTAAGCAGACGTCAGTCTCAAAACACAGTGCAACTCCGAAAATTAACGGGAAAAAAGAATAAAATGATCGTGTCCAATTTATGCCTGAGCTGTAAGTTGCCACTGTGGTGGAGGCTTCAGTGTCCAGAATGAAGTTGCCCTGGTGCACGGCGCAGACACAGCTCCAGCGGTGAGGCCTTGCACTGGGGCGGTGTCGCCTGTGGGCCTGGGGCATCCTTTGCAAGTGGATACACAGCGGGTTCCCGTGGGTCTCAGGGTTTGGTTTATTTAATGGTAACAATGGCTGACATGGGGTGGGGGTTGGGCCTGCAGGTTGGAACCCAATGACGGCACCTATTCCGTAGTAATAGGACCAACATTCAGCAGAACAGAGTGCAGCGGCACTTGACAGATTTAATTTTTTTAGTGGGATTTTAGCTCAAATGGGTCCCACAGCAGATGAGCATCTTCTTGGCCAGGAGAAGTGTCTATGGTTAATTGGTCCCAGGGAATTGGCTCCCTTGTTCTGGCCTCTGTCCTTTATAAGATGGCATGAGGCATGATTAAAAGTGTATTAAAGATAAGGTAAGGCCTGGAGCAGGATAGAGACCCATTTCAAGTTCATTTGTTGGATGAGGTTTTTTTTTCTTTTAAAAATTTTTTAACTTTAGGGTGAGGGTATAGCTCAGTGGTAGAGCACGTGCTTAGGATGTATGAAGTCCTGGGTTCAGTCTCCAGTACCTCCACTTAAATAAATAACCTAAATAGCCCACCACAGAAATGCTTTTTAATTTTAATTTTTATTTATTTTTTTGCTTACTTGTTTTGGTGGGGGTTTAATTAGGTTTCTTTCTTTATTTTGAATGGAGGCACTGGGGATTGAACCCAGGACCTCATGCATCCTAGGCATGCACTCCACCACTGAGCTATATTTACTGGATCCGACTGGGCAGGAATTTTTAGAGGAGCTGTTTGAGGGGACCATTATTTTTCCTCAGTTAAGCAAGCGATTTGGGACCACTTAATGGTATGAAAATTCTATTGTGACTGTTTCTTTCGAGACCCCATCTTTGTGCTTTGAGCCGTGAAGTGTGTCCCTTGGTTGATATTCGTAGTGTCTGTGATGCCAGAAGGAATAGGTGGGTCTAGGCAAGGCCTTGTATTATGGTCTCACTATATGTAGAGAAATGTGTGGTCTTGATTTATATTTTAGGTGTGTGTGAGGCAAGAGATTCCTAGGGTCCTTTACCTGGCAGGGGACAATTTTTAGGTAGTGGTCCATCCATTCATTATAAAGGTGAAGGTGGGGCTATTTGTTGGCCAGGACATCCAGTCCTACGATGAGTATCTGATGTTTGGCCCAGTGTGCTGTTTCCTGGGCCCTGCTCTTTACTAGGCTGGCTGAGGGATGGAACGTAGCAGCATTCGGCCTGACGCTGTCACATATGATGGCTGGCAATACCATGTGCATCACCCACAAATTCTCATTGCAGTTCCCTTGATACACAGAACAGATAGATGTAAAACATGATATCAAAAACAGTCATCGTGAGGATAGGAGAGGAGAGTACAAATTCAGGGTTCTAAAAATGCTTTTGAGATTAAGAGATCAGCAACTTAAAACAATCATCTAACAACAAATTGTCTTTTATATTTTAATTACACAACTGAATATGCATAATCACTGTCATTGCCTACTCACTCTGTACATGGAATCAATTTTAACAGCTTGTGAGCCTAAACTTAAAAGTGAAAATTATAGTAATTCTAGAAGAAATCATTGGAGGTATCTTAATGATGTGGGGGAAGGTAAATTACCTTAAACACGACCTATAAAGCAATAAGTATAGTGGAATATATTGATAAAAATTTAAATCTCATAAACAGACATCAGTTTAAAAATAGAAAAGACACAGGCTTAAGAAAATCATCACAAGTCACATATTTGACCAAGAACTTTTACCTAGAATACATAAGAAACTACTCCAACTCAATAGTAAGAAAGCCAAAACAGTGAATTAAATAAATGCTTATAATATGTAAGACACTATATAATGAAAGATATGTGAGTTCCATATAATGAAAGATACACAGTAAAACCTACGGACTTAAATATCAGCCTGGAAAGTAATTTTTTCTGGCTAATTCTGAGAAATTTTGAGCATCAAAATGAATACTGACTGCACTGGATGGTAGCCTATGAAATATGTTTCAATATATGAATCCACAGCAATATAGATAAGTGGGTGAATGAATGATGAGGAAGATGCTCTACCCGGCGATACCATGCCAGTTAAATATACAAGTATACAGAGAGTAATGGAATGAGGAAAATCGTTCATCATTTCTAAAAGATCCACATAGATCAGGACACTTACAGAGTTTCAAAGTATCACTTGACTAATTGCTTATCAGTTTTAAAGGTAAAAATATAGTAAATTTAATGTCAAGAGTCCAGGGAACCCAACGTGTGAGAGATTAGAGAGAATCTCATCTCATTCATGAGTCTCCTAATCTGATGTAATAAAGGCACTATCACTTCTGTGGTTTCTCTGCCAAAAAAATCAAATAAAATTTTAAAATTTTAAAACCACAAAAAATAACCATAATTATCAGTAAATAGAGAAATGTTATAAAGCAGTTGGACTGTATTCTTCAAAAGTAACAAATCCAGGAAAAATTAAAGTAAAAATGAAGCCTCTCAGAGCATAAAGGTGTGGAAAAACACAGGACATGTAGATGCAGTGTGTGACTTTGGATTTAGTTCTGCACTGACAGAAAATACGAGTAAAGAGCTGTTGGTGGAGGGTGTAGCTCAGTGGTGCAGTGGATGCCTAGCACGCAGGAGGCCCTGGGTTCAATCCATCATAGTTTTGATTTTCACTTTCCTGATGATTAATGATATGGAGCACCTGTTCATGTGTTTGTTGGTTGTGTCTTCTTTGGAAAAATATCTGTTGAGATCCTCTGTCCATTTCTAATCAGATTCTTTGTTTTTTTGCTATTGAGTTGAATGAATTTTATATGTATATATATTGGATATTAAGCCTTTTTCAGATGTTCTATTTTCTCTCATTCATTAGGTGGCCTTCCCATTTTGCTGATGATTTTCATTGCTGGGCAGAAGCTTTTTAATTTGAGGTGGTCTCATTTACTTATTTTTGCTTTTGTTGCTTTTAGTGTCAGATGTAAAAATCATCACCGAGACCTGTCAAGGAGCTTACCGCCGAGGGTGGGTGCTTTCTTATCATCTGATCCCACCGACCAAGGGAGGTCCGTGCGGGCATTTATTTTGTGTTTTGTGCACTTACACATCCTGTATTCCTACCAAGGGATCTTCCCTACACATGATACTTGATATCATGGTGTCTGATAATTCATTCAAGAAACATGTTACCCTAGGCTTACTACTTGCATCCCCCTGTGTGTTTTTTCTAATCTGTTCATTCTCCAGATCTTCATTTTTGTGCCCTCAGTCCTCTCAGGAATCGTATTTGAGAGACAAACCCTTCCTGTTGACTGAGTCCCCAGTTGGCCCAGCTTCCTTGCATCATTTATTAGATCTCTGTGTCTTCTGTTCATCTTCCCATGGGATTTTCATTTGTTTCAAAAGTAACATCTTCCCTTCTGTTTCTGCCACTCACGTCAGATATCTTTATTACTTATTTTTAACAGCTTTCAGTAATTTGCACAATGTGTGAAGGTTTCCCCAGATAATCTCTACTCCCATTTGCAGACACTCTCACTGCAATCACAGTTGAAATGAGGATTACTTCCCAACCAAGAGATGAGGTCATAGAATCCCCAGCCTTCATCTCAAGGTTCAGATGCCCTTTGCCACACCTGTGCAGGTGCCACCCAGGCACCCACTGTCCTGACAGCAAATGCCAACCTGGTAAGTAGCTTTTCTGTTCAGGTAAGTATCAGATTCTTAGAAGGAGTGTAGCTCAGGAAATCCAGAGATAACTGTTTTCTTTTTAAAACTGGCTTTCTAGGGGCAGAGGGTAGCTCAGGGGTAGAGTGCATGCCTAGCATGCATGAGGTCCTGGGTTCAATCCCCAGTGCCTCCATTAAAAATAAACATAATTACGTCTGCCCCCCCAAAATAAAAATAATAAAATTGCTTGATTAAAAGAAAAGAATGAGAAAAAGATCACAAAAAATTGGCTTTCTAAGGTTAGAACACAGTAAGTTTAGGTGGGAGAGAGGGAGGGGGGAAGGAGGGAAGGAGAGA